CAGAAATGTACCTATAATGCAAACACTTCTGAAATATTTAAAGTACAGAAACAGGAGCAAAGATGAAGATTGTGAGGAAAGAGATAGAGACTCCCTGTGAGAGAGCTTTTCTTAACCTTTTTGGTTCAGTAACCCTTTATATTGAGGACCCTACAGGGCTTTGGTTTACATGGATAATATCTATCAATATTTTCCACATGAGAAATTTAAACTGAGAAAGTTTTTATAACACTATGTAAACACACATTCTATTAGCTGTTAAAGCACTAGAAATTGTGATTCTCTATCATACATTTTGTAGCTTCTGGAAAAGTTCGCTAGACACTTAACAAGAAAATGATCATGGAAAAAAAATATTTAGTATTATAATAAAATTGTTTGAGCTCATGTACTTGCAGAAGTTTTCTTTTAGTGGTTCCCTGACCACACTTTGAGGAACGTAGCTATTAGAAAATGGAAAGCATTTTTACATTTAAATGAGTATTGAACATAGAGATACAATCTGTGAGATTCTGTATATTACAGAAAACAACAGAATTAAAAGGTGGTAAAAGGTAATTTTTAAAGAAACTAAAAGCTCTATCATTAACCTTCTTTCTACTAGCCTGGGCCTCATTAATATTATGCAACAATAAAAAGCCAGGGATATTTTTGTTATTACCAAATAATACCTCAAAATAGATGCTTTCCTCTCATATTGTCTATTTGAGAAATGTATATTCTCTATGTGTCTTAGAAGGAGCTCTGGTGGCACAGTGCCTAAAGCATTCAACAGCTAATCAGAAGGTTAGCAGTTCAAAGCCACCAGCGGGTCCCCAGAAGGATGATGGGACAATCTACTTCCATAAAGATTTACTGCCTCAGAAAGCCAGTGGGAGTCACTATGAGTTGGAATTGACTAAACGGCAGTGAGTTTTGGTTTGGTTGTGTTTCTTAGGGATAAGCTTTAAAAAGTGATGTTATGTTGACTTTGTAAATATTTGTCAAAGTCCAAAATCAAAACCCTGTCATGCTCAGACATTGGACTGCCTATTTATGTGCTCCACACATACATACGACCCAGGCATAGAGACGCATGGAGCATTTCCCTGCTGTCCCAGGATTGCACACTCA